ACTTTTCTCGTCGCCAATGTTTTATCCTGGTTATCGGATAACTAATTGAAAATACTAGGTCACTTCATACTAGATTTATTCGTCAAACTTTCAGTTAAGTCTTAGTCTTTACAGTATAATCTAACTCGTTATCAGAGACATCGGGAAACCCCAAGTGGTAAGGGCCACGCCGAACAGTTGAATGGCGGTCCAATTCCTGTTCGTCCTTCTCCCCAGGTTCTCTGCGGTGCCAGATGGCGCCGCGGTAGGTTGTACCTATTTCCGCTAGCGTTGGCGGCAATATTTGAAGCGTGGTCCAGATGACCACAACACTATTAGTCGGGGCTAAATTCCAAAAAAAGCCCTCCGTTACAATCCTAGAAGCATTTCATGTAACAATTGATTAAATGCTGTTAACCCCCTATTTCGACCCCGCTGAATCCGAAAATACCGTTTATCAAGTCGAAATTCCAACCGGAAGTGAGATATTCAAGATGGCGTCCAGAATACCCCTAAAATCAAATTATTTTCTACTTTCGGTCAGCTATACGATTGAGGTGTCGATGTCTATGTTTTCGGGGGTGTAGAATACGATGAGACACTCAAAAAATGATTTGGAGCTTTGAAAGTTCATGGAATGATCAAATTTTGACGAAATGGGCCAAAATTCCAAAGAACTTGTGAAAACGTGTTGTATAATGTACATGCTTGCATACGTTTTCGAGGGTGCTCGATACGTTTATGAGCCAAAAAAGCATTTGAACATTGTCCAAGCCTCCATTTCTTATATTTTGAAAAAAAAAGTTCACTATTAGTAGTCTTCCTCATCTTTTCTACTCCATTCGGCTCCCTGCAGCCACACTGCTCCGTGCCGCAGTGGCCGCAGAGCCCCATGCAGCCACAAACTCCAAATTCGGGACATGACTTGGGAATAGGTAGCAAAGTCATCAAGATTGGGACTTACCGTCCATCACCAATTTTCCAGCCGCAATTAATCGGGTCTGGTGAATCAAGATACTGATCATGGGCGTTAAACCACACACTAGTAAGTACCAGACTAAAATTAAAGTCCCTCGATTTTTTCTATTTTTTTTTTCTTCTTGTTAATTTTATCTGGAAGTGGCACCGAAGAATGTGTTGATGTATGGCATCAGTGGTAGATGGCAAAAATCATTCGCACTGTCTCAAAAATTGCAACACGGGCTGCGTCTGCCGTTGTAATGTCCGGTCCAACTTGAAATAAAAATGATATTAGTATAAAAGCGGCTAACAGTTCTAATTTACCATGTGTCTTAGAAAAGGGACGCAACTAACCTTGTATAAAGCTGGCACCACAAACTGCTCAACCAAACGGAGATCCTCGGGGGCTATATCAGGAGTCTTTCCAAGCTGACTGAGGAGTTTACAGTAGTTTTCTTCAATGTACTGCTTCCACCGTCCTGTTCTTGTGGCAGACCCTCATCAAGATTTAGTATCACATTCGGTGATTGCGTGGAAATCCATCAGGTTTTTGATCTGTTGTGATGTGAGCTTTCTACATAGTTCATGAATTGGAATATACTTTCTATCTCGGGAAGTACCACACATCACCCAGCATTCCTTGCATTTCATTCTTTCAAAGTGATAGATGAATAATGAAATCACACTAGTGTCTTTAACAGAAACAACAACAGCCTCTCTTTCGGTTTTTACGCATGGAGTATATTCCAATTCACGAACTATGTAAGAAACTTGCACCACAACAGATGAAAAACCTGATGGCTTTCCACGCAATCACTGGATGTGATACTACATTTAAGTTAGCGTCAGTCACAAAAACAGAACGGTGAAAGCGAGTACATAGAAGAAAACTACTGTAAACTCCTCAGTCATCTTGTAAAAACTCCCGATCTAGCCCCCGATAATCTCCGTTTGGTTGAATAGTTTGTGGTGCAAGCTTTATACAAGGTTTGTTGCGTCCCTTTTCTGAGACACATGGTGAATAAGAACTATTAGCGGTTCGATACTACTACCATTTTTATTTTGAGTTGGACCGGACATTACAACGGCAGACGCAGCCCATGTTGCAATTTTTTGGACAGTGCGAATGCTTTTCGCCATCTACCACTGATGCCCTCCGTCAACACATTCTCCGGTGCTACTTCCAGGTAAAAGAAAATTGAACAAATCGAAGGATGTTAACGTTATGTTCAGATACTAGTGTGGATTAAGGCCCATGATCAGTATTCTGATTTATAAGACCCGAATAATTACGGCTGGAAAATTGTTGATGGACGATATGTCCCAATCCTGATGACTTTGCCACCTATTCCCAATTCATTTTCCGAATTTGGAACTCGTGGCTACAAAGGGATCTCTCAGAATATAAGAAATGAAGGCTTGGACAATGTTCAAATGCTTTTTAGGCTCATAAACTTATTGAGCACCCTCGAAAGCGTATGCAAGCATATACATTATGCAACACGTTTTCACAAGTTCTTTGGAACTTTGGTCTATTTCGTCAAAATTTGATCATTCGATGAACTTTCAATGCTCCAAATCATTTTTTGAGTGTCTCATCGTATTTTACACCCCCGAAAACATAGACATCGACACCTCAATCGTATAGCTGACCAAAAGTAGAAAATAATTAGATTTTAGTGGTATTTCGGACGCCATCTTGAATATCTCACTTCCGGTTGGAATTTCGACTTGATAAACGGTATTTTCGGATTCAGCGGGGTCGAAATAGGGGGTTAACGTCATTTATCCAATTGTTACATGAAATGCTTCTAGAATTTGACTTTTCGCAAAACAAGCCCCGACATATCCAGAACCAGTCGGTAAAAATCGATGGAAATGTGCGTGCTTATATTTCAGAATACGCTCTCTTCATTTAAAATATTTTCGATAATGCAGTGTTGCCGCTTCTACTAGAAAGTAGTAGCAACATTGATATTTCAAATAAAACACCCTATATTTCATCACATTTTAAGATTCTCCCTGAACAGCTGATTTCATCGATATATCACACTTGGGTTCAATCGAAAATGATTACAGAGATAAAGGGTGATCAAAATCGAGATTTTTCAACTTTAGGATTTTTTTGTGTCGAAACTATTCATTATCGATCAAAACGGCTAACATGTCCCTATCTCAACTTTTGATTCACTATCTACTGGAATTTAATCTGAACAGATACAGGGTGATCAGAATTCTGAATCTTGAACCACCCTGTATCTGTTCCAATTGAATATCAGTAAATAGTGAATCAAAAGTCGAGACAGGAACATGTGAGTCGTTTTGATCGATAATGAATAGTTTCGACACAAAAAAATCCTAAAGTTGAAAAATCTCGATTTTGATCACGCTATATCTCTGTAATTATTTTCGATTGAACCCAAGTGTGATATATCGATGAAATCAACTGTTCAGGGAGAATCTAAAAATGCGATGAAACATAGGGTGTTTCATTTGAAATATCAATGTTGCTACTACTTTCTAGTAGAAGAGGCAACACTGCATTATCGAAAATATTTTAGATGAAGAGAACGTATTCTGAAATATAAGCACGCACATTTTCATTGATTTTTACCGACTGATTCTGGATATAAAGATAGTGTAAGCTCGTCGTGACATGCCCTGTATAAGTTCAGCTTTTGTACTTGAGTTACAATAATTCATTAAGGTTTAAGGGTGTCTGGCAAGGGGTAGGCACCATGGTAACGTGTCTGGCAATGGATGACGTGGTTTCTGATATTATTCCAAATAAAATATGAAAAATTACCCTTTATAGTATGACGAAAGTAAGTTGGTATTTTCAGCACCTTTGCTCCCTGTAACCTCCCAAAGGCCCAATGAACTGAACTTCATATATACCCATCGTTCTAACCTGTATTGGGAACATGTGCTCAGAAACTTCAAGCTTTCATAAAATTACGAAGGTCTGGCGTTCATGGGATCTTTCTTTATTGTTAGTCTCCAAATTGCCACTCATTATACCCTGAATTGGAAGGCTTACGGACAGCCTGTGTTCATTTCTATATTCGAACCTAGAGACATCCTTAAAATGTTACCAAAGGCGCCTTGTTAACACACTACTCAAGAAAACTTTATTTTTCTCCAAGCGGCAGGGATAGTTACTATTTCCTGCCGCTTTTAACAGGCAGAAAAGGAGTACTTTTACTGCCTGGGCAGGAAAAGTTTGTAGCTATGCAACGATCCAAGAAATTCTAATGAAATTAGTAATCAAAATTGACACTGAGATTGGGTGAACACAAAATGATGGAGTTTTCAATACAAAAATTACACAAGATTGGTTTTATATCATTTGGAGAAAAAATTATATGTTTCACATGGCAACAAATTAATGTAGATTGACTGCCTTGGCTGGAATCCTAGCCTCGCTACGCTCGGCTATGAACTATCTGCCGCGGCAGTCAATCTACTACTTTTCTGCCTAGTAAAACAAATAACTATTCATTCTGATATCAAGTTTTTCCCAATACATCCTTGATCAAGATGTGAAAATTTTTTTCCTCAAAGGGTCTTTGAAATGTCGCCAGGTTGACCTAGATGGATTGTGATTGTTTTAGACGTCATTTGCATGAAATTAGTAACAGGTGGACGTCTTGCTGCTGCTTCTAGACATTAGAAGTGCATAATCTAGAACTTTCTCCGAAAGTTCCTGAAACGTGTTCATGAAGTCTCTGGAGGATATCATTGAGTTGGAATGTTCTGAGACGTCATTTGTATTTAGAAAATTGAATCTGGTGGATATTCTAGATACGTCCTGCGGATGCCTCTCGACATCATTGGGGCATTATTAGGACCTTCTCAAAATGTTATCAAAACGTATTCGTTTTATCTGGGATTGAAGGCAAAGTTACTGGACGGAATTACAAATAGATGGCGACAAAAGTTGGGGGAATAGTCTAGTGGGAATAAAACAGGGTGATTCACGCAAGCCACACATTAGAAGTTTTCCAACTTTTATTTATTTCCACCAAGATAAAAAATGATCTTTCATTTTCATATTTTAGGCATATCTTGGGTATCCCCATATTACGAATACTCTAAAATAGGGAATCTGATGGAGATCCCAGAAGACTGGTCAGATCCTTCTATGCAGTTGATTACAGGTAGTGAAGATGGAACTATCTTGATATGGGATCTACTCAAGAAACCCACAATTCAAGCTGGAGGATTCAAACCCAGACAACTAAAGAGGCTCAAAAAGAGACCTAGCGCGTTGATGGTATGGAAATAGAATACCTATTTACTTCATATAACAATGATTTCTTATATACAGTGTGTGTAATTTCAATCCGCCACACCCTTTTTATATGGAACCTATCGACCGATCTTTCGGAATAAAAAATCCATAATATCGTTCTCAATGATCTCTCAATGTAGACGAATGTGGAATGTTCAGGTCTTCGAGGTCTACTATTGTTTGTTGAAGGGGTCAAAATTCCAAAAACGACTATTATAGTTCTGAAGCAAAACATATTCCGTTTCTCTTTCTGTGAAGGGAAGAAATGACTATGTGAAATCCCTTATTCATGAAGTAGACATACAATAGTTATTCGTTAGAGATACTAGACAGTTGTTCTGACCTACCAGAGCTCATCAATAGTATCAGTCTCTGATAAATATTCACCTAGAATCTAGACAAATATGATATCATCTCTCTGTTGCAGACTATCAAATCGTTTTTCGTTAGCAAGTTATGTCACTTTGAAATTGAATATAGTTTTTTCGACTACATATATTTATCATCTTATCTAATTTGATGAATACGAGTTAGATTCTCTAATATTTTACACTACGTATCTTAGCAGAGAGAAAGGTACTTCTAAGGAGCACGTACTTGCATAGGCGCCATTCATCATTTTACAACAAATCATCATCAATAACCTTCAGAATATACTCATATAGTGAGACGATTCTCCATGGTTGTCGTTAATTTTTTTTCCACCACACTCAAATAGTTCTGTGCATAGTTCAAGATTCTGAGGAGTTTTCCTTCTCTTGATACAAGGATACCTGAACAGTGGAGTATATCTTTGTGGGGCACAAGGTGAAGCAGATCAACACGACACCATTCCATAATTGAATAATGAACTCTATCAACATATGGTATCAGAGACGCTCTAGATTAGATGAGATTAGATTAAGAGTGGGGCCTTCGGGCTATCTGCCTCCACACCGCGACCTTTTTAGATCTATTGTGCCTGCCCTCAAAATCGTTTAGAGTTCTTTGGCTAGCCCCACCTTCTCTATGAGAGTCCCACTAGTATTCTAGTTGTACTTCGTTTCTGGCTTCAGTAGATATTCTGTAAATGTTGTTGAGAATTTTTCAATAAACTCTTTTGCCTGTCTCATTCCTGGCGAGTTGTTTCACTAGTGGTGCCCGCGAGAGTCTCGTTTTCGAGACAAGACTCGAGACGAGACTCGGAAAAGGCGAGACGAGACTTTCATTGGTCTCGTCTCGAGTCTCGTGCAAGACTTCTCGTGTCTCGTGCGAGCGTCTCGCAGGTAAATATTTCTGCGTGCCGACTGTAGACTTGAGAATTTCATTCATAATAAAACATATTCAGGAATAATTCTATAAGAAAACATCGGAATCGCCTTAATAATGAATCTGCACGATGTTTGTTATGTCTTAACGACTGGGTAAAAAACAAAAACATTTGCGATTGTGAAGGCTGATCTGACTGATAAAGGTTTTTTTCTCCAAGCAGCAGGAATAGTGGCTTTTTCCTGCCGCTTAACAGGCAGAAAAGGTGTACTTTTACTGCCTAGGCAGAAAAAGTTTGTTGCTATGCAACGTTCCAAGAAATTCTAATGAAATTTGTAATCAAAATTGACACTGACATATGGTGAACACAAAATGATGGAGTTTTCAATAAAAAAATCATTCAAAATTGGTTTTATATCATTTGAAGGAAAATTTCTCTGTTTCACACGGCAGAAAATGTAGATCGACTGCTTTTCTGCCTAGTAAAACAAATAACTAATTCCTTCGATACCTATTTCTCAAATAAGTAAAATAATGTTGGATTCAAGTTTTTGTTTTGTTTATTTGTTTAGTATATAAGTGTTACTTTTTATTTCATTTTTATACTTTTCGAATATATAATGCTGTTTTTTTTCTTGTGCAGATGTATGATGTAAGTATGTACCTATTAGATACTTACTTTTCTATAAACAATGTTATTTTTGTTGTAATTTTCTCTTTCTACTTCTACATTATACCTAGAAAGTAGGCAAAGGTAAATATCCCGTACTAGACTGGAACAGGATTATGCATGACGAAATTGCGATACTTTTGCGAGACTCTCGTACGAGACGCGAGACAAGACGAGACTCGGGGCTGCGAGACGAGACTCGAGACAAGACTTCATATTTCATCGGCGAGACGAGACGAGACTTTATGAAAGTCTCGTCTCGTTGGTCTCGTGTGAATCACTATGTTTCACCATTCTCGAGATTTGGTTCGCATCCATGATTTGATACTTGTCTTTTGTATAGCTTTCGCAATACCACAAAGGGTTTCTGGGCCATTCAGGGCTTCGTTTGCTTCTATTCGGGCAAGTGAGTCTGCCTCTTCATTACCCTCGTACCCTGTATGTGCTGGTACCGATGCTAGAGTCAGTTTGTTCTGACTGCCCAGTTCATTCAGGGTTTCTGAACAGTCCTATACTAGCTTTGGGTTAACTTGCATTGAGTTAACTACTTTGATTGCCGCCTGGCTATCCGAATAGATTGCAATGGTTTTCCCTTTAGACTCTTGCTATTTAAATTCTTTTGCGCAATGATGTATTGCAATACTTTCTGCCTGAAACACCTTTGCATATTTGCCTAAGCTCTGTGAGATTCTTGTATTTGGTTTGGCCCCATAAATACCAGATCCTGATCCTTCCTCGGTTTCGGAGCCGTCTGTATAGACAGCGACGTCTGCAGGAGGTCATTCCTTCCATGCCTCTCTGTCCGTTATACTCATTTTGAGAGTTTTCCCAAAAGGTATATTTTGGAATTATGCCATCTGTTGGCATTCCCATGATGGGGTTGCTTTCCATCTCTCCATATAGCTTCCTGTAGTCATTACCGTGCATGTTGCTTATAGGTGCTTGACCCCTGGACAATCTACTCACGACTGCTCTGGCTTCGCCTCGAATATTTATATTTGTAGTGGTGGCAAGCTCGAGAGGACCTTTGAAGCGGCTGTTGGAGTGGTTTCCATTGCACCAGTGGTGTTCAGGCAAGCTTGCCTTTGAATGGCACTGATGTGGTCATTTTTGGTTACAGTCCCCAATTTTTTCCGCACATTCCTCTGCACAAATTGAAGGCTATTGTACTTCTTCGAACAATTTTTTGTAGGTGTTGATTCTATGTTAACTCATGGTCGAAGATAACTCCTAAGTATTTAGCCTCTAGGGCAAACGGAATTCCTACCCCGTTAAGTACTGGCGACCTTGAACCCTCCAGTTCTCTCTTTCTCGTGAAATTCACTATAGTGGTTTTATGAGGGTTCACTGTGAGTTCCTCTGCTTTACACCACTAGTCAATTATGTTTAGAGCAGTTTAAGTGAGCTCCGAGACCGTACTTACGAATTTACCTTCAGCGATAACCGCCAGATCGTCGGCGTATCCTAAGCAGCAATAACCTTTGGATGATAGCATTTTGATCAGTTCATCCATCAGAATGGCTCATAGTATGTGCAATAATACTCCCTCCTGTGGGCATCTTCTATCTGCTCTAGCTGTCAGTGTTGTTGTCTCGCCAATTGTTGATATGATAACCCTATTTTTCGAATTGATATTTATCCACTGGCACGAAGTAGTGCACCCTCTATGTCTACGAATGTTGTTATAGCTATTTCTTTGTCCTCTGTCGACTTTGTGAGTAGCCTGTTCGAATCATCAAGTGCTAAGTCAGTTGACTTGCCTGGCTGATAAGCCTATTGGCTTCCGTTAAGGGAGTTTGGTTGTAATACCTCGTCTCTTATGTTTTGAGCAGGAACGACATTAAACTTATTGGGCGGTATGATTTAGGCGTTTTGTCACCCACCTTCCCCACTTTGGGTAGGTAGATGACTGTCACCTTGTGCCATACGATGGGTATATATCATATTGCTATGGAAGCCTTGAATATACGACACAGATATGGAATTAGTATCAGAAGCGCTCTAGTAGGTGGTGAGTTATCTTCTTGAGCCTCTTTCTTTGTGAACATAGGTATTATAAATTCGTGTTCCAGGGACGTAAACTTGGCAAACACATTTTTCAAACGACCGTCTGTCCTCATCAAGGTAGTTTTCTGAAATTCTTGCTAAGTGCTTCAGACTTTCTAGAAAAAGGTTTTAGCTATGTTTGCCAATGACCCTGTGGTATCACAATCTGATGGCTGGCTGAAGTCATTTTGGAGCCTAGAAATTCAGTTATCCTCCTAATGTTGATCATTCTTCAATTGTATCCCACTCTAGTTGAGAACTTAGTGTTATGTCAGAAGTATTTTGACCACCATATAAAGATGGTGAAAACATCAGTATCTGGAGAGTAGATAGGCAGTTGGGTGGCACCAGAACGATAGGCGAACAGATAATGCAGAATTATTTTTCTATCCGCTTTTGAGTTCATCTATCACATTACCCTATTATTATGAGCTATTTCAGTGAAATTTAGTACATTGGTATATTAGCTATGCCTGAATCAGATGAGCTATCTACTTTTTCGAAAGAAGAAATAGCAAATAGTCGTTCTACAAATTCTGAACCCTTTAGAAAACAAGAATTGGGCTTGAAAATCTGAAAAATTCACTTTATGAAGACAGTTCGTTGGGATTTGTTTCCGAGAAATCGGTCAACGGGTTACGAATCAGGAGGGTGTTGCGAGTTTGAATACCAGACACTGTAGGCACCTATATTCATAATTTCTAGGTAGATGTATCTCCATACCATTCCTTGCATCTCAATCTCAAACCATTGTATAAAATAAATATGAATAGAAAAGATAATAAGAAGAACTTCGCCATATCCAATTTTCATAGCAATTCATGCCACATGGAGTATGAAGAAATTAATCCGGACAAAAATAGAAAGAATGTTATAAGTGAAAGAATATTATTCAAACCAATCTTCCGGAGAGAATCTCAGCAGGCGTTGAAACAAGAAATGCATGTGGGAACTTCGGATGGTAAACTTTTTTGTACTATGTTAGTAGGAATGGCGAGCGGATGGCTCTACCCCACTCCTTCTCTGCCCCATGACGTATGACATATGGCGTTTGACAGATTACGTTCGGCACATTGACGCATGGCGTGGGATGATATTATTCTTGCATGGCAAAGTAAAATTCAAGTCAATCATTGCCATACCGTCCATTTGCATTTTGTTTGTCGTCTTATTATTATCTATTATCGCGTGAACAAGTGAATCAGTGCGATCAGTGAAAATATAGATTTTCAGCTATCCATTTCGATATCAAAGCAAGATAAGAACTAAACAAATTTTGGACCGATTCGAACCAACTCAGATTCCAGGTTAGCTCTGATGGAATGTTTAGAAATGTTCAAGTGCCAATAAAGCAATAATGAAATACAACTACAATACAACTAGGCAACCAACCAAAAAGTCGTAGGAATTCGAAAATAGGTACGGATTATTTCCATATTTCACTAATCAATTGAGAATATACTTAATGGGTGAGTTAAATATCATAGATAAAATCGAAACAAAGTCAGAATATGGTCTCAAAATCACTCAGGAAACTTACAAAAAATACCTATTACTTTTCAGTATTCTAGACATATAAGAACTTCAACTAGATATGACTGCCAGTGTAACCTACTCATGCACCATGGACTCATTATACTACCTCATAAGGTTCTACAGATTAGAACTCATGAAGTTTCACTCGTTGAGATGCCTTCATCTGCTGATATGTTTATAAATTGCTACTGGTGAGAGTTGATTGACAGATCTCTTGCGAAGCTGAATAACAGTTCATTTTAGATTCAGATACCTATCTAGAAATCTAAATCTAAATCTAAATAAAATGTATACATAGTAGATTATATTTGTACAAAAACTGAAGAAAAAATTATTAAAATATCTGTGAAGTGTCAGTCAATGATTTGAAACAGGAAAGGTAGGTATCCATCTTCTAGATGCATATTTTTCTCTGGGCCTGATGTGACATATTATTTTGAGTTTTTTTTTTGTTTCAGGAAGGGCCAATATACATATGTTTCAACCACTCGTTCAACGACACATAACTGTGTAATTATACCTGAATACTAAGTAGAAGTTTTCAGATGTATTGCCTGGTTTCAGGATTTATGAAACAGAATAACGAAATGATAGGTACTCAGGATGTTGATATGTCTCAAAATATCTCTGTGTTATTGGATCATACTTAGTCTTTCAGGAGTACGGAAAGATCATCTCATCAACACAGATATATTCTGGAACAGATCAACTTCTCTGTCTTTTCTGAAGATCATTTAGATGATTCTCTTGATAATTACAGATATAAAAATAGCCATAACCTGAAAAATCCTAGAAAATAATCAGAATGTTTAATATACAATATTGATCAAATGTTTTGAGTAACTTCAAATATACGTCATAAAGAAATATTATTTTTACCATTAAACGTTACATTGTAATATTTATATAAGGCACATATACGTCTATTGCTGCTACAGCTACTATATACGTTTCTGTGATAATATCACAAAGTAACAATGTGATATAACATTCATATTTAAGTTATGTTCTCATGTTTAGTGGGATGAAATATGACGTATGACACATGACATATGACGCTTGAGCCATATGATGCTCTCTCTGAAACTGCCCCGCTCACTTCAGAGGTGCGCGAATTTGAAGATTTAGAAAAATATCTTCATTAAACTTCAAACATTTCTAGAGTTTTATCTCAGTGTGTTTGTGAACATGACTTTTGAAGCAAAACTTGTAACGAGGGTGTTAGTCGTCTTCACATATATCAGCTTCCTCAAACGTCAGCGCTATGACAGATTCACATGAATCTACATAAGCCTACTTGCACCAGGATATCAACAACCAGTCTGAACGATCTCACCTACAGAACGCGCTTCTTCAAATGTTAGCGGCTTGAAAGATCCACGTCCACCTATTGATGGCGTTTCACAATTGATATGTCAAATTTGTTATAAGAGTGTGCATCGTATTCATGCCCTCTAGACATTTAGTCAGCTGTTCCAAATGAATATTGCGACAAGAGCCTCGTTTGTCGAACACCAGTCTCGTCTACACTGAAGATATTTGTGACATGAATGTGTGCATGAAAATAACATAATTTTGATGCGAAAAACAGCACATTTTTCTTTCTTGAAATAATCTCATTTTTCGAGCATGAAATGATACAATTTTGACGCGAAAAACGTCTCAAAATCACGTCACATGAATGAGACGCAAATGAGTGCTTTTTATACCGATTTCTTCCAAACCAACAATGGGCGTGTACACCTTAGTAGAACTTTTAACTCAAACCATGTTTATAATGATTATTTTATACATAAATAATGATTGACGTCATAATTTGATCGAAAAATTAACTGAAATGTTTTAGTTTTGGACATGAATAATAGTCACTTCTGAAGACCCTTTTATGACGTAGAAACCTCATCTCGCCATAGTTGGAAGAAAATACCAAACGCCCGACGAAGACTGAGGCAACTGATATATTAATTCTTTCAACTGTGATCTCGCGCTAATTCACTCTGTCAGAAATCATGTATCATTCATCTCTGTCTGGAATAGTCTTGTTTCAGTATTAGGGTTTTGACGTCACATCATCGCCTCGTTTTCAGAGGTCTGAAAAATCGGGGATTTCAATATTTTTTTATAAAACATAGGGAGCTCACAGCAAGAAACGGTTTGCGGTGGTGAACTAGTTTGGGTGAGTTCAATCGAATTATGAAATAATTTTTTTTGTGATATAAGTTCATTGTGTGTGTTTGTGAGAATTTTAACTTTTATTCCCTACCACCTGAAGAAAGTTAGATTGAACTCGCTATTATTATACATATGATTTTTGTTGAGAAATACAATCATTATAAGGAATTAAATATTAATTATCGAAAAACAAACTACGTATTCCTTAATTTCATGTACAGTTGGGTTATCTATATCAAGACAACCTAATTCATGTCAACTCATCTATCTCAGCTTCTAGATATGTCGATTGTTCTGAAAATTATTGCCTCCGTAGAAACATGTTCGATGGCTCAAAATTCTTTAAAACAGCTGTTTCACAAAATTTACTGCACAGGTCTGGTTGTGATAAAGATTGCTACTTACTACTTTTTTTTCCATGAGGTGAGTTGTCAAGTTGGAATTGTCTAACATGGAATTTATTTTTCCACATCTTTTTTCTCTTTTATCTGGTTCATTCACCTCATGGGTGATTTTCAAAATGTAGTAACATTTCGTGCAGAAAATCTTCGAGCCAGAAATCAATCACCCTGTGTGTGTGTTTGTAAATACATCGTAATTGATTCCGTGCCTCTCCCAATGAGCTCATCGATTGATTGATTGAATTAATTACAAGATCAGGTAGGTATTCAGCATATCACACATCTTATGTCATCTAACATGTGTCTAACGTCATGTGTCAAACATCATTCGTCATGTGTCGAACTTCATTCGTCAACGTCATACGCCATGTCATCATATGTCATACGTCAAACGTCATATGTCATGTTTCATGTTTCATGAGTCATGTGTCAAACGTCATGTGTCATATGTGTTGGGTCAGTTGTGGAGTGTGAAGGGGTGGGGTAGAGAGCAATCCGCCCGCCACCCCTACTGATGTTACTTTTCTGGATTGTAGTTCTCACCTATTTTTATGACAGTAAGTCAGATAAAATGGTAGTTATTGATGGATATCCAGGGTGGTCTAGACATTCGTGAATTTATTTTGAGAAGTGATAATGAAACTTTACTCAATATACATACTTTCGAAATGTTTGAAAAAATATGAGCTTGATACCAATCACTTCTACTGACAAACATAATTATACTGAATGAAATGCTCCAAGATTTCATGAGTTAAATAATGAAGAATTGTCTAACCTATTCCAAATTACTATTACGGAATTTACTTGAGGTCATGTTTAGTGAATGATGGACGCTGGATAAGGATGGTATATTACTAATACTGTGTATCAATCAACGATCATGTCATAAATAGTTATTTACTGCCCCAAGAATCTGGTTATTTTAGAGTGAGACTAGGTAGTTATAAATGTTTTCGATGCAAACTTGTCCGAAGAAAACTTCTCCATTCATCTGCCATACACTGTTTTTCCAAGGAGTTATAATGAATACCCTGATATTTTCATAGGTCATTACATCCACTTGAAATGGGAGGGACAAGAATACGATACAGGAGAAATCGTGAACTGTGAAAACGCAAAAATAATAATGTCAGCCAAATATCATGATGGGCCAGTCAACACAGTTGAAATATCCGATTTCAGTAATATCACCCTAACAGTAGGAGGAAGGATCTTTGCTCTTTGGCGTGATGATTTTTCTGCCGGTCCAATTTTATGGAGGAGATGCAAACATATGTACACTACAGGAGAATGGGATATCTTCAAGGTATCATCATAATGTTATTAGTATATACTGCATGGATGTCCCAGATATTTCCATACAGCCAATATCTAAGTTATATGATTGTGATGTGCAATCGATCCTCTAACGATGTATTATACTTGATAATTTGAATGATGTCCAATTGAAAGAATACTCACTGGGAGTAATCGTAAAAGGTTTTCTTTTAGTTGGATGTACCCTATGGATGTATGTACCTTTACAAACTGTCTGAAAGACGCGTACAGCAACAACTGTCAAAAAAACAACCAAAGAAATGACCTGCTACTGTTCCTTCCGAATTTTATTATTACGTATGTCACAATATCAAGTGTGATGCATCGTTAAAATAAGAATTGATTGCACTTCACTAGGGACCAAAAAATTAGCCCGAACATTCTATAAGAATGAAGTTGCTGGTCATTTTCCAGGGGTAGTTTGACAGAAGGTGACTTTGACAGGATGGCTTCAAAGTGATTTGGGTTTCACAAAAGTGTAATTTTTAAATTTTTCCTCCAAGCAGGAAAACTGAGATATTGGCTGTTTCGGTCCCGAAGGGCGGCATACGGACCGGGAGATATCTTTAATCGACATTTCTCTCAGATTTTTTACAAAGGTATGCCCTTTGGTTGAACCCTCCATTTGGACCTACCAATCAATGTTGGTCACTTGACGTGATTGACTTATATGTACGAGATTATATAATTTTGTATGCCATTCTATCAGGCGATAGATTTAGTTATAGTGAATAACAAAATGACGTTCGCATACGAATCGAGAATCGAGTGTAAAGAAGAGGAGAAGGAATATCGAGTGTAAAGGGCTTTCCGTGTGTTTTCAAAGTCGCCAAGCCCGAATCTGGTACTAACTAGTGCCGGGGATGACCGGGGGTGGCTCTATGTGGATTGAAGAGGGTGAATTCGACCGAGTAATCGAAAAATTCGAGAAATCGAGTTCAAAAAGCTTCCCGGGTGTTTTCGATGTCATCGAGCCCGAACATTCTATAAGACTATTCTAAAATAAGTATATTTGAACGTTGTCAGAATATTCATAGGATATTTTCAGACGGCACAATCGAATTCCTTGAATATCCTGTATATATTGCGTCAGATCGGACAGGACCGGCGGGCCACCGCATATGCCCGGTGGGCCGGTGTCAAACCACCGCGGTTAAGAATTTCGCAAGGCACTGATTCAATACGAATGTCGTCTCCAACAGCTTTGAATGCATTCATACCATTTGTAGTTTTTCAGTAAAGTATATCGAAAAAAGAGATGTTATTACCCAGATATATAACAATTATCAATTATCATTATTATAACAATTCAGAACAATTTTAGATAACACCAACCATCGGCCCAACATTAACTTCCCGCCGTCGAGGTGTCCAGGCGGCCGCCAGTCGGTCCTAATACACATTTTACTGAAATTGGCGAAGCAATGGCGAAAAAAATTGAATCTAATATAGAAAACAAACAGTTCAAAAAGAAAAAAAACGATAATTCAATGTTTCTAAGTGAAACTGACCCAGCAGAAATCTCTACAATAATAGTTGGTCTGAAGATAAACAAGTCTCCAGGAATTGATGGAATCAGATCGGAAACCCTTAAAGAATTGAAAAATGAGATAGCAGCTCCCCTGTCATATTCAATAAACAAGTCTATCAAGGATGGAACATTCCCAGATATCTTAAAAGTTGCTGAAATAAGACCTCAACACAAAAATGGCGAGAAGTTAGACGTAACGAATTACCGTCCTATATCATTGATATCATGCATTGCCAAAGTGTTCGAAAAACTTATACAAAGTAGAATTACATCATTTCTCAAAACATTCAGAATTATATCGGATAAACAATATGGATTTCAAGAAAATAGCTCTACTGCGGATGCGATAGCCAGATTGATAGAAATGATAAACAATGCCATTGACAAAAAAAAAACCATCTGTTTGTGTTTTTATTGATCTGGCAAAAGCATTCGATACGGTTGACCATGAAAAGTTGATTTCAGTTCTTGAGAATGTTGGTATTCGAGGAATCGCTGGAAAATTACTACAAAGTTACTTGAGGAATAGGAAACAGTGCGTTAACGTGAATGGTACATTGAGTGACTTCAGAACAATCAGATTTCTAAAAAGCGATGTCTCATTAGCCACACAGTCTTCAGCCTTCTATAGAATATAAATAGATGACTAACAAAAATAAAGATTACAAAATGTTACCATGATTATATAATCGAATAGAGCTCGGTATAATAGGATAATCATAATTAAATGTCGATGGATATACTGAACGATGTTAATCTGGTCATGAATTTGGAATTTTGTGACAAAAAGTTCATAATATAATCATAGATCCGTTTCTGCTAAATTTTCGTTCAATAGGCAACAGGCGAATTTGTATTTGCATCCCCAATCACGACAACGGGTAGTGATAGCAAATTTTTCAAATATGGAATATTCCTCGATCCTGATTAAAATGAACTATTTTGAAAATCAAAGATGCCAAACCCAAAAGTTACAAATGAACGTGATGAATTGAAATAAGTCATACACAATATTATTTCCCAAAAATCTTGTCACTTCACCTATCTCAGAACTACGTACTCGTTGTTCTATTATCAACAAAATGTGCTCTTTCAAATGGCGCTCGAAAAAAGGGTTGCCATTGAAAAACGTCATGTCTGCCGAAATCATGATGTCACCTCTAATACGTTTTTTAAGTTAGTGAATTTGAAATTGAGATTGAAGTATCCTAGCGATTTTTTCCGCTTACTCCGTACATATCGAATTTGTTTAGTAATGTTATGATTTTAAATTCAGCCTTACATGGTGATCAACAAAATCATGAATGGAGACGTGGAAAGCTGGGCTGTTTCATCTAGTAGCAAATTTCCAGTTTCTTCGTTGACATATTCCAGTCAATTTCTAACTGCCTCCGCTATCCATCCACGAAAATTAAAACGGAACATTTATGGGGCTGGTGACAAGCAAGGTCTAAATACTTTTCTATGATTTGCAATATGAATTAATTACCTAATATGTCATACGTATTCAAGGTTCCTTCAGATTGTTTTTTGTGCCAGAAGACACCATTCCATTAACGGAAGAAATGAAAAGAGGAGAGTTTCTAGAGTTCGTCGATAGAGAAATAGATAGGAAAAAACAGTTCTTGTCTTGGCAGGAAGCTTGGAATAAGAAGAACGCCTCGGTTTTGAAAGTGAGAGAAGACGAGCAGAGGGAGTTTATCGAGAAAGAAGAAGCGACTCAAAAAGAAAAAGAGCAGGAGAAGCAGGATCAGAAAGTTGATGATAAAACTAAGCAAAAAGGTCCTCAGCCCGGTAAGTAGATAAGGTGTGAGAGTTATATTGGAATGAAAATTTAATATAAGTGGCACGTTTCTCAAACGGAATACGGAGTTGAAAATGATCGCAAACTTTCAATGTGCTTATATGGTATGAACTCTTATGTGTTTTTTCGAGAACGGCTATACTGCCAATACTCCTCACTATACATTATTTAATGAAAAAATATCATGATATCATTCCACAGGTGCGATATATTCTTGAAAATGTTAATGCTTTGCTCGTGACCTCGCACATGATGTCACAAAATATTTCTATAAAACATTTTAGCCCTTCCTGAGATACATTATTCCAATATTCAGTCTTCCTATCGAACACTGACCAATTCGTAGAATTATATTGTATTAGAATTAGAGTTATCTTGAAAATACGATAATAAAGTTTATTTGGCATAAGTATATTACTCTGCGTCTAGCGCTTTTTAACGATGACAACCAGGGGTGGACAAAGAATCTGACTAAAATTCGTTTATTTCGTTCGGTACTTTGGTGTCGAAAGTGAACGAAATTATGAGGAAAACAGGGGTGGACCGAATGTGTTCGTAGGGTACAAATTATTCTGATATCAGGCGAAGAATGATGTCGCCTGCAAGAGTCAGTGAGAAAATATCCGATGGAGTATTTTTTCAGCACACTTGTTTGATATAGGTATAGCTGCGATCGTTGAATCCATCTGAGGCACAGATCCTGTCAGAATAGGCGAGTGGACTTATTTTTTTTATTTCTTAAATAGAATCATCACTCAAATACCTTTCAATTGCATATATGTTGAGAGAGTTTCGGTCGATTTTTAGGTGCTAACATCATCAATAATGCCACGGTAATTTTCAATCGGCTAACAATTTACTGCCAGTGGAAAATGAGTAAGGGCAGACCATAGCACAGTTGCCATGTGTTGAAATATGATTGGGAACTTCTGAAATATCACTTATTCAATAATGCATACATTCTCAATTGAGTATTGGTAATATTCTTATATAGCAATAAAAATCAAATTGTCTCAAAATGTTCCCTTATGATTTGTGGCTTATTGCTTATAATAATTGTGTGTGAATATTCATTATATTAATTCACACTAGAGAACATTTGAATCGGTGAACGTGACAACACGGCACACGTCTTGTGGGCGTGATCTTGTCACTTCCCAGTATTCAGCACAATGTTGCCAAGTCTCCAACATTTACATGATATTTTAAAATTGAGAATAAGAAATATTTGGACATGCTGGTTGCTCGAAAAAGTCGAGAATGAACTATAATATTATGGGTTCCTCCTATTATGTTTTATTCAACGAGAGGACTCTAACATCTTTTTGATAGCTTGATTATAATTGATGACTCGATAGCCCCGCTTCATGAGTGGAAATGGAAGATTATTTGACCAATAACGAAACAGCATAAAAACTGACGTCACCATTTTCTCGACGTATCACCAAATGGCGGCCATAAAGGTTCGTTTGAAATGAGCTCTGATATTCCACAATTTCGAACAACGCATAATGAATAATGAGTTTCATCAATCACATAAACTAATAATATAATGATAATGATAATAATGCATTATCAATCTTTCGCCCATTATCCTCAAGATCAACGAATTGTCTTGCCCACTCAGATCACGCTTCCTATACCATTAGCTGTCAAGATTGTCTACTTTCCCAAGAGATGCTCATCACTTTTGACCAGAATGAATATTCATAAGAAAAAACATAGAATACTGTCTCGTATCCCTATAGCTTATCTACTGATAGGTCAATATTATCTTTCAACATTATTATTATTTGAAACAAAGATGCGTTTTTTTCCCAATTTAACTGACTCATCGTTCATCCTAGGGTGATTAAGAATTATGTCTGGAAATATTTTCAAATCATCTCGTGTAGATTGCCTGACAACATGGATACGACCGTACAGATCGACGCGTTATTTGTAGCATCGTAGATTACTGCTCTGTATTCATATTTGAGAGATTTGAGTGAGAATTTTGAAAATGTAATTCGGAACAAGAGTAAATTGAATTCAAATGGTTAATATAGAATTACTTCTGAAAGAAAAATAAAATGAAGAATAGAAGTTGCTAAAAGCGGAAAGAGTGATTTTACATTAGTAATAATCCACCAGTGGTTTTTTGATAAAAAATTGAGAAGAATTCAATGAAAGATGACTATATAGATTCAAGAAGACAAAAATTGAAAACTAATTATTTTGGAAATCTTTGACAACCTCTATATCGACAACCAATGTCTTTACGAAAAATTAAAATAATCTGTATGGAATATGCATTCGATCGATTTTCGGAAGTAAAACAAATAATGCATTGTCATAGAGTCCTGAGCTATGTTCAGAGTTCAATTTCCAAATTCAAACATCGAAGAAAATCACCAGTAATCGGTACGTTTTTCTTGATCACAAGAACCCTCAGACACGCGCTTTCAGGTGAATCGTACGAGAAATTACAAACTCTTCCGTCATATCGAATTTTCATATGTTCAGTGAAAACTCCTGTTACTCAACCTTAGAAACCACCAGTTATATTTTCAGTTGAATCGGAAAGAATGAATATGAAAAATATCGCCTGCTATCTTGGAGGTCGGGTCATCTTAAATTTTTGATTTTTGATTGAAACTTTCTATTCATCGACTTCAAAAACCTGCCCATACAAATTTTCATTCGGTCCAATCGTACGAGAAATTAAATACTCGTTCACAATCTTGAAAGCGCCATATTGAATTTCTCAATTCTAACTAAAATTCCTTTGTTCAACCTTGAAAATCATCTGATATGAATTTTTGGTCGAGCCGAGCAAGAAATGACATCCTTCTTCCTTCCTTCTGAAGGCGCTTTCTGGAATGTTCAAATTCTAGATGCTAATTCAATGATGCTGAAGCAATAATAACAACTTATTTTCAATAGGTAAATATGTGGAATGGGTGATAGAACAGAGGAAACTGGAAGAAGCGGCAAGAATCAAAAGTACAATAATTAGTAAGAAACAACTCGATACGAAAGAATTGGAAAAAAGAAGAAAACCACTACAAAAACTGGATGAAGAAAATGAGCGAAAGAAGAGGAAGCAGAAGCAGAGGTATATATACAATGAATTCAATTTCCATCTAATCCTACAAAAAATTCCAAATCTTAGGTTTAATTAAAATAAATACATAAATAAATGCCCCTTTTGTCTATTTATAATGAAAACAATTGCATCATTCGAGTCCATGTCGATATCACTTCTTTCACTAGGAGACTGTGGAACAAAAGGCGATGACCGACGGACTCGTGTGTTCATTCGGGATAGTTCGGCATTCCGACAACCTGAGTTTGCAAAATACCTGGAATATTCGAAAAACATATCTAATGAATATAACATATTCCAGGAATATTCTTTGGGGATATTAGATTAAGCACATATATCTTTATGCGCAGGTTGAGAGAGGGAGAAACTATATTTCGAGAAACGATTGCATCCCTATTTCCAGAGATTGTGAAAGAAAAACCGGCTCCTCCTCCTGACCCATATGCTGGAGGAGAACCTGCTGATGAACGTGAAAGGTGTTATTATGATTACCTTGAAATAACACAGGAAGCCGAAGACTTTAAAAACAGCCACCCTTATTATTACGATTTCGATTGGAAACAAGTTCTAACAAGTGAGTGAAATGTGTCATATTGAACTTTCATCATATCGCATTCCTTCTTCGTACCCATCTATTGAAGACGACAAGAAAGCGTCAATTGAGACATCATTGCAGTTTAATACCATTCTTTTGACGCCATCAACAGAATTTGTTTGCTTCTAGATATGTTCATCTGCAAAGTAAATAAATGGCATAAGCGCCAAAATCAATTGCAGTTCTATTTGAAATTCAGTATCATCACCTTACCTTCCATGAGCCATACCGTTTATGCCAAACAAGTTTTCATGATATTGTTTTGGCATAAGCCTGAAATTACCGATTATTGCAGTCCAGGACCATACTATCGGAAATTCCCCAAAATCATTGGATTTTTACTCTCCGTTTAAAGCATAACCCAGATACACAAATACGTTTTTATATCCTTTCACTGAGGTCCTAATAATGCACTGATTACGTCGAGAGGCATCAGCAAGACGTCTCTAGAACGTCCACCTCTCAACCTTTTTTACATGAAAATTACATCTCAGAATATCTCAGTGATATCCTCCAAAGACGTCCTGAAGGCGTCTCAGGAAATTTCTGAAGAATTTCTGAATGATGCAGTCATTATATCGAGAGGCAGCCCAAGATAGCTTTATAGGACTTCAAACCATTTTCTTCATGCAAATGACGTATAAAACATAAATTCTTTCAAACTCTACCAGGTTCGGCCTGAGGAAATCAATTTCCACATATTTCATTCAAATGGCGTAAAAAGATCTTCAGGGTTCTATTCATGAATTATTATCGACCTAAATATTTCTGGTTAAACCAGAAGTGGTATTCAATTGTTTTCTCATAAAAGATATGGGTTTTTATAATCTATATGTTTTTCATCAAAATGGCAAAAATTTAACATGAAAACTGAATAACGCCCTGACCAATGATTTCATCGTCACCCGGTTTTTATACAGGGTGTTATTTTATTGATGACTAAAAATATAGGATATGGTTCCCTGCTATAGCTCATTTCAAAAAGGAAAGTTCATGTGAGCATATGCCCTAAACTTTCACAATGTTGTCACGTTTATGACTACTTGTCAAAATAAGACCGCAACGTGATCGATCATCATTATTTTGAATACAAAATAGGGCATAGAGCCTAATAGTTCAAAATAAAATTGATATACCACAAATGCATGAAATTGGATTTTATTTTTTACGTGAAAACGGTGCGAAACGGTGTGAAAAATCACCAGTATACATCTCATATGGACGTCACTGGTTGAAATATTTGAAAATAACACGAAAGTAAGGAGATTTTAGGCATATGTACATTCGTGGGCGTAGAAGCAGAAACTTTTGAGTCCACTTTTTTAGGGCAGGAAAATCTACTTTAGTCTAATTTCAAAATAATTTTTAACCACGACTGTTGTATAAATATTTATATCACATGGACTTTCTCAAGCAAAACGGTAGCCATTTTTTACACTAGTGAATAACAGCAGTGCAATAACCATAATTCACTGGTCTTGAGTTCCTAGGGTACGCGATGTAACATATAAGGAACTTTAGACCAGTGGATAATGGTTATTCGCCGCTATTATTAACTAGTGTGAAAAATTGCTATTTTTTTATTATTCATTCATTCATTTCAGTTATTGCATTACATTCTCTTCTTCATTGATACATTTCATACAAAAATGATATATAAAGTATAATTAATTTTCGTTTTGATTCCTTCGAGAATAATAGCTCTCATTATATGCTTGTTGAATACTATACTATAACATGCATAATCGGTCAAGTGCACTCGAACGATTTTAAATTTTTTCTGAACAGGTATAGAAACCTGTAAGTCTGTCATTTGGTGTTTATTGTTTCATGGGGTATGATCCAGTTCATCCATAGTGCATCAATGTCTGCCAGAGGAAAAATTATAGTTTTTCTCGCTTGCAATGACATCAAGAGATGAGCCATGTTATATTTAGATAAAAATAGAGTCACTGGTGAAGTGGTGAAAAATCTATATGAACCATAATGAACACTCATTATTGAGGTTGACTCAAGGTTTCTCAATCAATTCATGCATTGAAAATAATAGCATCCCAGCAAACATTTTGATATGGGGCATCAATGACCTAACATATTTTTCCTATACCTGACATCAGCGCCCCAGTAAATGGTCCCATATGCGGGACTCCCATATATCAGTATACTGCGGCCGGCAGCTGGTCCCAGTGCTGGGTACCCAGCAATCATATTCGGTTCCCCGGCGAAAGGCTAATTAACGACATTGATCACATACTTTCGAGGTAGGGGAGGGGTAGGGGTTTTAGGGGTCCAATGGATCTGAAAGTTCTAGTACCTCTTTATTTCACAATATAACCCTCTATCATGAATCAGACACATACCAGATTCCAAGAAAACAATTTTATGAATCACACAATGATATCTTCCTAACCTCTCTGTTCTTCAACGATGAAACTTCTCGGAGTGACTGCTTACTGGTTGGTATGTGGTCTACATCTTATTTGGTAGCATTCCTCCAAAGTTGATTCTTCGTTGTGAGGTACTTCTGAAATGCATCATAAGTTATAGATTAGTGGCCTATATGAGTTACATGAGTTCATAACTCGATATAGTCTGATGACGTGATAACATGGAGCTTTTCAATTCTTATTATTTTCTTGGCACTGATATTTCTGTAGCTGAAACCTAAGATTGCTTTTGATAGCAACAAACGAGTTAAAAGTGATAGTTGCTTCTGGAGAAGTATATCCAACTCCAATTATTATGATCATTAGGTATATGAGGTTACGAGATACCATAGATTAAAAAGACCAACCAAACTCATGCATTTGATAATGAAATTCGAAACACTATATAGGTAGATTGATACTCAATATTATCATAATTGAAGAATCCGTCTCCTATTATTATCAATTGAGAATACTCCTGCCATCATGAATAACTGGGAAACAGAGGACCACATTAATTCGACATAAACAAACTAGTACGCGATCACCACTCACGAGAGTCAGTCACATATAATATTGATCAGCTGATTGTTGATTTAGACTGAGTGTAGACGTTCCCAGAACATCCACCAGGGGGACGAGTAGCGAACATGAAATTGGCCAGCAAAGTGCCAGATCTCGTTAGTATTCAATTAGTTCCAGACATCTTACCATCACAAGGCCATCATCGTATTTTTAAATGATGGTTAATTTAGCATAGGAAAATCATCGGCCCATTACCAATACCCCGGCATCGTCACTTTCCCAGACTAGCCTGCACTAGGCCGGACTTCTCCCGCTAGTTCAATATGTTTCCTGGGATGCTATAGTGAAGGAAAGCGATAAGGGGAAAGAGACGGTCAGTTCCTGAGCAGCTGAAGAAGCTCTCAATTCCTGTTGAATGTCATGGATGGTACAAATCATCACTTTTCTCGAAAAATGCTCTGGATCCATCTGCTGAGCCATGTGTAGACGATAGCGAAGTAGAGGACATTAGTGACTCTGATGATGAACAGCCAGTAGTATTAATTATGTACCTTGTTGGTGTGTTTGTACACACCAACTGGCCATCGACGTTACAAGAGGTCCTTGAGCTATGTTTTTTCTGTGTAGGCCTTGTTATACTGATGCCACCTTAGGAGCAGCACTCTTGATTGGAACGCAACAGCGATTCTCCTGCCATGGCTGAAAATTTAAATTAATATCTCGTTTCATAAATAGAGATGCTCTGCTCTGCCAGGGATTCGAAGCTAGCAACCTTTCGATGTTCTGTTTACTAGTCGAGCGCCTCAACCACTGCGACAGACTTGTGAAAAAGCTGAAAGAGAAAATTTCAAATGTTCGTTTGATTGGATTATGTGCCTTAAGAAATAGCATACCAACTCTCCTTTGGTGTTCAAAATCCATTATTTATGAGAAAAAATTTCACAGGTGGATTCGAACATTCAATTGCGACATATATGATTCTGCTTGTTCATATTATAAAATTGTCTTCTCAAGATGAGCTAAGGAACCATATTTCCTATATTTTAGCCATCAATTGAATTAGACCCTGTATACATGCAGTACCTAAACATACCGGATAATTTTCCAAGCTGGCTCACCTCTACAACTTTCTTATTATCAAAAGAAGTAAAACGAAATTTGGGGGTTGTGAATTATAGTTCAATTGAAGTTATTACTTCCGATATGATCTGAATCGATCCAGCGAAATGAAATCAATGAATACAAGATTGAATTTTCATGAACTCTCAAATTTCAAAAACGCTATTTGAACCAACTTGTAATATACAGAGGTTTATATTGATCCAAAATATAATTTGCTCATTGGAACAAACATTTAGGTGGTGAACAGAGGAGACGTTTGTTGGATGAAGCTTATTCAAGTAGGAAGCATCCACAACTTGGAATGAAAAGTACATCATCGAAAGAAAACTACGTTGAACAAATGGAAGGTACTTAGTAAAACTGAAAATACATGGAAACAGTACAACGAATTTGATGGAAGCAAAACCAACAGATTGACAAAATAATGTATTGATTTGTATAGTTTCAAACGGTTTCAATTAACAAACATATATACATACAGGGTGGGGCATATCATACGACACGAGGTCACTGTGTATGTGCTTAGAACTTTTTACTCAACAATATCTACACAGTTACTATATTGTTACGAATAACTTAATAATATGAAATTTATTATAATATCTCATGTGGGGACCACTTCGTGTGCGATGCCCCACTCTTTAAATCTATGTAATATATGTATTAATAAATACCAATATATACTATTATGCGTTATTCGTTATGCCTCTTTCAGGAGATATGAACGTCTCAAAAGTCCCCGAGGTAGGCCCACACAGCACATGGCATCCATTTGACGTCTATTTCAGGTCCATTTCAATTCCAATCGTCAATGGACATTGAATGGACATCTATTGTATGTAGAAAGACGGATGTACATTGGATATACAAATCGAACTTCCATTGGATGTCCATTTAACGGCCGTTCTAAGTTCAAGTATTGATGGATGAAGAATGAATGAGTATATAAAGATCATCAAGGAATAGGAATACAATAATATTTTTAAAAAATGTTCTTTCTATTCAGAATCAAATGGTAGTCTATTTTGATTTCAAAATGTGAATTGAAACCCTCCTATAGCAAAAAAACTGTCCATTTTCTAGGATTGTCACCCGATGATTTTCTGTTCAGAATCATATGTATTGTTACGATTTTACTCTGGGTCCGTAATAATTTAACACTCGGTAGAACACTTAAAACGATTTATTCTGAACACTACTATACAATAATTACAATACTCGTACTAAACACTTCCGATTCACAACACTTCTTCGATCGTTATTATAACGCTTCCAAATAAAGACTTCTCCTTCCTGTCCCTAACAACATCTATTTATATTACCTAATAAAACGTCTAGATTCCACTCGAAATATCGTGAACAGGTCGATAATCTTCTCGAGTCATCTCAATAGTCGTCGAATCACCTAATTACTATTCCAAGAAATATGGCTTGTTTACTTTCATCGCAGGTAGCTGGTATTGATCGCCAGGGTCGTAACATTTACCCCCTTCTTCAAATTTGATCGTCCCGATCAAAAACAGAACTCTCCTCACCATGATAACGCTTCAGTCTTTCAAGATGAACGACTTTCATCTTTGTCCTAGGGCTGCGTTGGATTCTGTAGACCACATCGTTGATCCTTTTCAACACCGTATACGGTCCTTCCCAAGATGGTATTAATTTGGGTGATACGCCTTTCTTCCGTCGAGCATTATACAGCCAAACTCGATCTCCTTCGAAGAATCCCTCTGAATTGGCTTTGAGATCGTACCGTGCCTTCATTTTGTCACTTGCTAATTTCAATCTCTTCCGAGCAGTCTCATGAGTTTTCATCAAGCCATTCCGGAGCTCATCTGCGTAGTCTTGTACTTCCTTTTCTTCAACACTTGGTGAACCGAACACCAAGTCACAAGGTAAGCGGAGTTCTCTTCCAAAGACTATACTAGCTGGAGTTAGCTTCGTTGAATCATGGACAGCTGCTCTATACGCCATCAGGAATAAGGGAAGATGCCTGTCCCAGTCCCTCTGATGCTCTTCGACTACTTTGGAAAGATGTTCTTCCATAGTTCGGTTGAATCTTTCGACCATGCCATCGGATTGTGGATGTAGTGGAGTTGTTCTCGTCTTACTGATTCCCATTAGATCACAGACCTTTTTGAATAAGTTCGACTCAAAATTTCTCCCTTGATCAGAATGTAATTCCATTGGTACTCCGAACCGTGAAAACATGTTGTCGACCAATATCCTGGCAACTGTGGAGGCTTCTTGGTTTGGCATGCCGTATGCTTCTACCCACTTACTGAAGTAGTCCATAGCAACCAAGATGTATTTATTTCCATCATCAGTCAAAGGGAATGGTCCGGCTACATCGATGGCGATCCTTTCAAACGGTGCTCTCACATTGTATTGCTTCATTCCAGCTCTTGATCTCGTTCTGGGACCTTTACTGGCTTCGCATACAGGACATCTTCTACACCAACTTTCCACGTCGTCACGACATTGAACCCAGTAAAATCTTTCTCGAATTTTACTCAATGTCTTGTTAACTCCAAAATGTCCACCAGATTTTCCGCCATGGACTTCTTCCAGAACTTCATTAACTCTGATGTGGGGCACAACCAGCTGAGAAATTGTTGATCTACCATCAGCTGATTCCCAAACTCGCTTCAATAATCCATTCTCCACAACTAGTGAGTCCCATTGTGCCCACATCGCCTTGAAAGCAGGCCCTCTATCCGAGATATCCTTCCATGTCGGTCTTTCTGTTCCTCTTTCTTTCCAACGTAGAAAATCGGCGATATTCGGATCGTTCTCCTGATCTCGTCTCATGTGTGCTGCTGTCCACTTATCATCGGTCACAAGTCTGGTTTTTCTAACATCAGCGGTTCCTTCTCGATGTTCAATGCGCAGACAATGCTTACAGGTTTCCGAACAAGGTCTTCTGGACATAGCATCTGCATTCTGGTGTAGTTTTCCTTTGATGGTCAGGCTATCAGTTGTTCTTCTTATCCTTTTGATGTTAATGACCCTGGGGGCTTCGTTATTACTAGCCAGCATGCGCCCCGATACGCTGGCTAGTTCTAGTTTTTCCTGGTATCTATCTGAGGACTCACTAGATGACCTAGTCCTCGCAGGTGAGTACGACCGTGATGGCGTCCTTGCAGGTGAAGAAGATCGTGGTGGTACTCTCACCTTACAGTCCCTTATCAGGTGTCCAGTTCTGCCACAGCGATAGCAGGATCTATTTCGCTGGTTACTAGACCCACTCTTAATTTCTTTGAGTTCCTCAAGCACTTTTCTCAACATTTTCGCCACTGGGTCCACGTCTTCGGAAGGCTCCTCGATGGACACAGCTCTCACTTTTGGCCTAGAGGTGTTGAAGGCCGCTTCTACCTCCAGAGATCTTACTAGGGCTTCACCACTCCTCTTAAAGTGTGTAAGCCTCAGAGTCTTCTGTATTTCTGAGTCTCTCAGCCCGTCGATGAATACCTGCACCGCCAGTTGTTCTTTGAAGTCCTCTGGTGCCTCTGGGTAGGCTAATTGAGTCAGTCTTCTCACATCTGCTTCGAACTCCTGTAGGCTCTCTCCAGACTTCTGCACACGATTTTTCATCTGAGCCCGGTAAAGCTGTTCTCGATGTTGGTCACCATACCTGAGTTCTAGCGCAGCCACTAAATCTCCGAAGTGGTTTTGTTGTTCAACTGGGATCGACTGTAACATCCCCAAAGCTGTTCCTCTCAGAGCTACTATGAGTGCAGTAGCTTTTTCCTCGTCACTCCACCCATTTGCACTTGCTGCAGCCTCAAATTGTCGGCGATACATAGACCAAGGCGACTGTCCATCAAAAGTTGGTGGTTTCACGGAAGAACCCGATGTGGCAACTCTGTCACGGCGATCTTGACTTCGTAGCGAGGTGATCTGATTCGCTACATTTCTTTCGATTGCATCGAGCATGGAATCTATTCTTGAAACTTCCTGGTTAAGCTTGCCATCAATTCTGGTGACATCTGTCTTTAACTCATCCATTTGCTTATCAGTTTTATGCAGAATTTGTTCGAAGAAGATTTTCTGATGTTCTCGTTCTTTTTCTTGATGTTCTCGTTCTTTTTCTTGATGTTCTAGAATTTTCTGTAGCTCTTCTTGACGACGTTTCTCATCTTCCTGTCGTCGTGTCTCTAGTTCTGCAAACTGATTTTTCATGAATTTTATAATGTCTTCCATCGTGTCGTATGACGTACTCCTTGTATTCACCATACGTATTCAAATGTCCTCGAAAATCCCACTTCTGACACCACTGTTACGATTTTACTCTGGGTCCGTAATAATTTAACACTCGGTAGAACACTTAAAACGATTTATTCTGAACACTAATATACAATAATTACAATACTCGTACTAAACACTTCCGATTCACAACACTTCTTCGATCGTTATTATAACGCTTCCAAATAAAGACTTCTCCTTCCTGTCCCTAACAACATCTATTTATATTACCTAATAAAACGTCTAGATTCCACTTACCCCAGTCAATTTGGGTTTTGACCCGGACATTGATAATTACTAAACGGGACCTTATTCAGTTTGTTGAAACACCTTTAAGAAACACCCTCAAGAAAGTCCCACGACGTTCTAAGTGGGATAGCGAAAATATGAAGGAAAAGCTAGATGAATTATGCTCAAAATCAACAATTTTAATATTATCTCCTTATTGGTGGATCCAAGCTCAATTATACCTATCATCAATTTTATAGGAAACTAAATTCTCTACAAGTTTCATGCGAGACAATTTTTCATACGACCAATATTGAAAGAGCTGCAGCGCTTTGAAATATGGCAATTATCGAAAATACCATAATCGTTCGGTTGTGAATGACATTTTGCATGAATATTTTTTCATTCATCAAAAACTGATCAGAAGCACAGAATATTCCTTCTGTTATGAATTTGGGATCATTAATAACGTTTTCATTTGTTGCACCAGTTACGTAATTCCTCGGATTTCTGAAGTTCACCTGGCAATTAATAATATTTTGATACAGTAGTAATAATAATAGCTGCTGACAAAGTAATCGAAATCTCAGTAAAATTAGGTTTTTGACTCGGATATTGATAATTATTACTAAACACGGACTTTCTCTCAATATGTTCGGATGCCTTACGGGATGACGCTTAAGAGAGTCCTACGACCTCTTCAGTGAGATAGAAGATATCCTGGAAAAACCGGATTTTAAAGGAAATTCCTGTAGCATGCCTAAAATCGTTATTAATAAAGCTATTTCTTTACATTTCATATGATTTTTTTATTGCAATCGAGTGAATAATAAGGATAATGATTTCATCTAATGGTAAATAGTAATACAAATAGTTTTTATT